AAAGTGAACAACGAAACAAAAGACGCCGCCGAAGACGTGTCACTTGGAAAAGCCAATGTTGAAGAAGAAACTATCCGGTTTAGAGAAGGGAAACAGTGAAGCCCTTGATGAAGTTACTACCGCTGATGTGAATGTTACCAATAATGGGACATTTCCTGATGGAGCAGACAAATCGCACGTGAAGCAGAAGATGGAGACCAGTACTGTAAAATTAAGAGACTTTGTTGTATTTGAATATTGTGTTTGTAAATTCAGTACATTTAATTAAGCTATTGTTAATTATCTATTGGTTTAATGTAAGTGGCTATTGTTCGGGATCAATAATACTAAGGAAGGGACAGTGTTACGACAGCAGAAGTCAAGTGATGCTGTTGGCGTGCTTGATGAGTATCTCGAATGATCGGGGAAGTCCGAGTGTGTTGGAGATGCCCTCTTCATTAGTATATAAGCCTGGCAGAGGAAAGCCAATGTATTGGGATGATATATAAATGAAGAGAGAATATTAGTTATTTAGCATTCCGTGTAATTTATGATTCTGTTAGTTTTGAGCTAGTGAGCCGTAAAGTGTGTTTTGCACTCGCCGAGAGCTAAGTTATCGAGACTGTGAATCACTGTGTATTATAAAAGTTAAGTTTAAAGTGACAAGAAACGTACTGATTGTGGAACTACTGTGTACTAAAAGTTTGTATTGTGGAAGAATAAACTGGTTTAATCAAGAAAGGACTTGTATCGTTGAAGATTTTCGGAAAGAATTTCTACCGGAAACAAACAAACAAGCAGATACGTAACAATTCTTTCTTTTATTTTATTAAAAATACTTCACTAAGAAATATGACTTTTTGTATGTGAACAACTTGAAATATTAACTGAAAGACTGCCAACTTTTGTGAAGATATACCCAATATATAGAATTATAAGTATTAAATTTGTTAACTTAAAACGAGTACAGAAGGTCACGTGACTCGGTCAAATTGACCGACCCCGTGTTCAGAGAGTTAACATATATCTGAAGTTAATAATTATAAAACAAACATTATATCCCAATAATGTTTTTGCATCGTTATTACAAACAATCACTTACATACATGATAAAAAAATTAAATTAATGATAATACTAGAGGGGCACTCAGTAGAGCTCGTACTTCTGCCACGCAGTGTTTTGAAAAAATTCTTCATTTTTTCATATAGACTATCATTACAAAATTTCTGATGAATATTATTGCTTGGTTATAAAACCAGAAAAATTGTGATAGTTATGTGACATTATATTGTTTTTGCATATTATTCTGTGTTGTTTCATATATTATTCAATGAAATGCATTTTTAAAAGTAACTAAAATGTAAGTCTTATGTAATTTTTTTCTCTGAAAGTTTTAAAGCAAATTTAACTTTTAAGTACATGTGTATTATTTCAGACTTAAAAGAATTTTGCTGCAATTAATGTAAATAATATTTATTTTTTAACATAAATAATGGCACGCTATAGATATTATCAAGATTGATTTCTTGCCAACTGTTATTACAAAGAATAAGTAAGGAAGCAAAATCATCTAATCCATATATTTATTGCCTGTATTACTTCCTTAGACTAGCATCTAGAAATAATACACCAGTATAAAAATGGTAATTGCAACAGATCCTTCTGCACAGTTTTTTAAATGATTGTGACAAGTGTTAAAATTACTTAACTGTCCATATTTTGTGACTTGAGATACAAGATCTATCTGTTTGAACTGACTGTTTGTGTTATAATGCTTTTGTAGGATTATGATGCTATGGTTACTCTAATTGATGATTTGAAGACAGTTCCAAATGTGAAGTTTACATATACAACAGCTATTCAGTTTCATTATGCATTTGCTTTAAACAGGTATGTAGAATTTTGTATCTACAGACAAGAAATAACCAATTTTAATCATATAAAAGCCAGATATTAGCAGAAAATTAGGTGATGAATAGTGCTGCTTAAAGAATTTTTTGAAGATTTTAGTTTTATTATAGTATTAAATTGTTTGTATTCATTAAATTCTCACAGCCACTGTTAAAACCAAAAACTATATTTATTGAAATATGGTGATTAAAAAGTATTCTTCAATGTATAAAAGCTTCATTTTCCTTTTTAGATTTAAGTAACTGATTTTTATCTTTAAATTTAATCTTAATTTACTAATTTTGTTCTTATTGTTTCTGTTCAATTGTTCAATTGAAAAAGTTCTATGTGATAAATTTATTATTCATCAATATAAAATAAAGTTTATTTTTTAATTCCAAGGAGAAATAAACCAAAGGACAGAGAGAAAGCTTTACATGTAATTAAAAAAGCTCTAGAGAAAGAAGAAAACCGTGTACCTGACTTGTTTTGTCTTCACGGTCGTATCTACAAAGACATATTTGTAGAATCTGATCACACTGACAAAGAAGCATTGAAAAATGCAATACATTGGTAAGCAATGTGGTTAATACTCTAAATATAGATTATAGGATACACTGGTGAGAAATATGATTTATATTTTCCAAAATTAGATAATAGCAGTAATTGATACTGTGATTAATACTCTTAACCATAAATAGCAACATGGTGATCTTTTTCTTTTTTTTAATTTTATAAACTCAGGTCACATCAGTACATTAATGAGTGATCTTATTAATACCCCCAAAATAACTTGCAGTAACTTGATTGGTGATCCCAATAATGTTGTGCACTGGGGAATGGTGTGGTTAATACTTTATCCCTGTGCATATGGCTGAGTCAAAGTGCACATATCATGACCTTTTACATCCAAAATTTAATTAAATTAAATAACTATTATTAAATCTCTCACTACAAGGTTGGTCGGATCAACTGACCTCATAGCCATTTTGCACTCATTATAGTTTCCATACTATAACTTTTAATACAGTGTGTGTATCTTCACAAAATTTGGCAGACATTTATTAAACATTACAAGTCTTTTTACACAAAAAACCTGATTTTTTTTCTTTTTTTTTACTATTCAGACTGCAAAATGATTTTCTTGTTAAGATTAAAAATACTTTTCTTCATCTGAAAAGTCTCAAACTTTATTTGCATAATCTCTAAAACATCCTACCTAAAATTCATACATTTTTATCTTTAGTAAAACTATATTTTATCTGTTATTTTTTCTACCCTAATTTCATACAAGGTTGGTCAATTTGGCAAACCTCTTAACCACCAAAAAAAATGAAATATATTTGAATTACCTTTTTTTTCTTTCTAGAATGATTTCAAATTGTAACATGAAACTAAATTTATTTATCCTAAATAGCTTTGAACTCATAACAGTATACATTTATTTATAATTAAATATAGTTGTATTGCCTTTTGAACCATGCCTAACTACTACTTGTGCCATTATTAAAAGTTGTGCATCACTTGGTGGACGTTCAGCTCACATTATGCTATTGAATTACACTATGCATGAGCTACTTGCAAGTGTACCTTGTGAAGAATTTTTATTATATCATTTTTATTTATTTTACCTAATCTATCATAAAAAGTTTCCTATTTTTACATTTTAGTTACTTTTATGATAATAAAGATTACACATGAAAAACAAGAAATGAAGTACTTACCTGGTTTTTGTTGTCGACTGTCAATGACCCGTAACCCAATTTTTTTTATACCAATGGTAGTACTGCACTAAATAATTGTTTATTTAATTAAATAATTCTACGAAAGAACACCAAATAATAACATGTAAAAATCAATGTTCCGTAAGTATCACAATTTTTTGGCTTTCTAACTATGCAACAAGAGCCACTAAGAATTCATCTAAGCTCATCAATGTGTTTCCCATAGGAATAAAGCTTGAACTGAAAGCAAAATTTACAATTCTCTGTACAGAATACAATTTAATATAGTACATCATTTGATAGATTAAAACTTTGGCTTATTATTGTTTGTAAATAATATAGTATTGAACATTGAAGAGAACTATTGGCATTTTCTGAAAGAAAGGATGTGACAGGTGAGTGTGGCAATAGGGGGTCTGATTTTCCATTTGATCACTCTGTAAGGAAAGAAGATTGAAGGCTAAAAATTATGGTTTGTCTGAGCAATGGTGGTTTTATAGTGTGTAATTTATGTTTAATATCATACTTACTGGAGGGATGGTGCATAAGATAGATTGATGACAACATTATAATGAGTAATTTATGTTAAATTTCTGTACTTCTTGGAGCAGTGGTAAATAAGTTAGAGAAGAGGTAATGTCTAAAGTAAAAATGTCAACTCTTATACAAGGGGAAATTCAGATTTTTTTTTTAATATTGCCTTATAAAAGTAAGAACTTAAAACTAGTATAATACTTAAATATTAGCTACATTATTATTCTATATTTATTGGTATACCATAAAAAGAAAGTAGTTTTATTAAATTTTGAATTTAACACACTAAAATATTGACATGCACAGAAAAAGATTCCTGTGGAAAGAAAGTTAATGTATGTCCATAACCTTAGCATCAAAATGTAGTTTATAATTCAGATTTTTTTTTTTTGTATTCAGATTTCTTAAAAAATTGTCAACCTCCATTTCTGTGTCAGGTGATGCATCTGCACTCTGAATTCTTCCCTTCAGATTTTGTCTTCAGTACTACAGCTTTGAGAGTGTTAAATGAATTAAAACACACACACTGTACATAATGACAACCAGAAATATAAAATATGAACCTCCTATCTTTTCCATTTATTGAAATATCATTAAGTTTGTCAAATCTAACAGAGAAGCCCCCTCCCATTTGTCTTACCTTTCAAGACAGTTATGTATATCAATTATACATAGCTGATGGACATGTATATAACCAATAGAATGAACAGATTCTCTTTAACATAAAGCATATTACAGTTGTTTCATTTTGTCACAGTTGGTGTTAGATTCTTTGTCTGTGATCATTGTTATCATCTCTGAGCAGATAACATTAATTTTTTTAACTTATTTTTAGCTTACTTAGTAGCTGTGCAATGTTCTGTTCTTAAATCCATATTTAAAAGCTGCTTGAATTAATTTTTGATCAACTTAGTGAGAAAAAGTTAGGGTTAAATGAAGGATGGCCTCTAACAGCAAATGGCCTGAAACCTAGAGTAAGTGCTAAATTTTTTATTTTATTTCTTTTGTATATATTTATATTGTTACATATTTTTCCATCACAGTAACTAAAATGTAAAGATTAGAAACTTCTTATGTTAGGTAACAAAAATAAAATAAGTTCATTAAAGTTCATTGGTATAGGAACATAAGCTCGCAAGTAATTTGATCAGTTTGTTTACCTGTGGGAAGGAAATTGATTGTGGCTCGTGCTTTGATTTATTGCTTTTTTAGAGTAATAAACAGCTTCCCTGGTGATAAAATTAAAAGAAAAGAAATGGGTAAAGGCTAAGAGTTAAATTGTGAAGATTAGTTTGAAACTCTTGAGTCAGTTATAGATTCAAAGAAGTCAATGTATTATTAATTTTATTTCATATTTTCTAACTTTTTATTTCACTACAGTTAATGTTAATGTAGATAAAATATAAAGATTTACTGAAAAAATTTTTTCATAAATTCAAGACAAATCTTTAGTAAAAAAAGTGTTTATTAAAAAAAGGCTCAAGTTTTTGTGTATATGTAACATTTACTAAAAACTTGTACTCAGAGTTTGTGTGTTATAGCAAAAATATTTTGAGAACATCTGAAGTTGTTTGTAAGATATCCAACATGTTGCTTCCAGGGAAAAATAATTAGTTTCTATAAAGTTAAAATCAGTTTTTCTGTGACTAATTTTTTATATATCATCCTGTTAATAATTCATTACTTTTAATAACCACGTTTGTTCTGTATATTTAGGTACCGCAAAGGATTTGAAGTTCAACCTAATGAATATGCAGGGATCAATCTTGCAACTTTACTTGTTATTGATGGTAATGAATTTTCAAAGTCTTCAGAATTGCAGCACATTGGTATAATACTAAACAACTTAATTGGCCGGAAAGGCAGCTTGTCTTCTCTGGAGGACTATTGGGATGTGGCAACATTTTTTGAAATTAGTGTTTTGGCTGAGGATTATGTGAAAGCAATTCAGGCAGCAGAATGTATGTTCAAATTGAAACCCCCTGACTGGTAGGTTTCACTAGACACATGCTTTCTTTTTTTTCTCTCATGTTTGTCGTAGATTTTTGGAATGTAAATAAGAGATTAAGTATTAAAATAGTAATTTATCTTGCATATATTTAAGATTTCATATGTGTATATACCAAAGGTTTGGCAGAATAATTTCCCAAGCTTTTAAAAATCAAATCTAACAAGTTGTCAAAAAAAAAAAAAGACCAAAAAGCTTTATGAAAGATTCATCTGTTCTTGGTAACATGATGAATATATGATATGTAGTTTGTAATTATAATGCTAAAATATTTGAAGTTAAGCACATAAGATATTTTGATTTTAATATGTAGTTAATAATAATCATTCAGGGCTTTCCTGAACTTTCTTATTGAGTATACCTACTTGTAGAATTCATTTTAGGGTACACATATAAGATGATTTTATAAAACACTTGTTTTTTTTTATAACTCTTTATACAAATACTAATTTTTAAGTTGGAAATTGGTATAAATTTCTGTCTTCAATTTAGAAACCTTTTAGATAAAAAGTATTTAATAGTTACGTGGATAACAGTATTCATTAATCTCTCCTGCAGGCATCTGAAATCTACAATAGGTAACATAAGACTGATAAATCGATTTCGTAAAAAGAGCGAAGAGACTGAAATTACAGCAGAAGAGCAGGTACACGTTTTATTTTGCAGAGGAGCTTCTGTTATTTTTTTAAGTGACTATTTTGAGTAGTTGAAAGGCTTTAGTGCAAACTATAGTTTTTAAATAATAAAAAAAAAAGTTGCACTCTAGGTGAAGAATATTTGATTTATGCTAAATTTCCTTTATGGAAGTACACAAACATGTTTTAATCTACCCAAAATTTCAGCTTAAATAAACTTATTTTTTTCTGGAGTAATAATTAATCTACATGAGTCTCCATGTAAATAAACCTTTTTTTTTTCTGGAATAACAAATTATATTGGTTTATGGACTACTGTGCTGGTAAACTATTTTGTGATGTGTATTTCTTTTACTATCTAGTTAACTTTTTACATAGTTTGCTACATGGGCTGTTTCAAATAACTTCAAAATTCATTATAACAACCTCCATAAGCTAAAATTAGATTCAGCTCAAAATGCAAGTTGTTTGGTCACCTTACAAGTGGAGGAACATTATGTAAATCTGTATTTGGAGAGTTAACAAAACTTAAACTTCTTTAGATTTTGTGGTTGTATGTGTAATAACCAGTGTCCTTTTGATTTCTAGTATCATTGATAAAGGAACTTTAAAGAACCAAAACCAGTCTTTTTCTCTTCTAAGATTATAAATCCCTTCTCCCCCCTTTTTTTTGAATTGAAACTTATTTTTTAATTTGTATCAGTAGTTTTATGTACAACAGATTAATTTTTCTGACTAATAAACATTTTATAAAGTAAAAATGACAAAAGTTGTATTTATTATGAATATGTACAATATAAGTTCTAAATGATTTCTTAGAGGAGAAGTGTTTCTTGAAAGTAAACATATTGTTTTAAATTCTTTAATAAGAAAAGCAGGTTTTATATTGATTTTTATTTGCAGGTATTCCATTTTTGGTTGGAGTATTTCATTGATGCAACAGCTGCTCATGCATCTGATTGTATTCGTTTTCCTGTAAGTATTGTGAAACTAGGGCTTGCACCAATGAATGTTTTTCTATTTGCTTCAAAATTATAGTAAGGGTTCAAAACTGGCAGTTAAAAAGAAAAGAAAAAAAAATTAACAACTTGATAGTAATTAACCCTCTCTTCACAGGTACCCCCTTTAAACAATTTTCTGTGTAAGTCACTGAGTTACATTCAAAATTTAATTAAACACCTTTACTATCAATGTATGTGAATGAAATTAACATTACAATGTATGTTATGATTTGAATTTTTATGTTATCTAAGTTTAAGTGATTTATTTCAAAATAAACCTTTTAAAACAAACTACTTAAACTTCAGATGTATTGTTATATGACCAACAAGCTATGAAAATTCTCTACTTTGGCACTCTGTATCTTCAATAATACAATGGCATTTGTGTAGATGTATGTCTAGACTATAAGACGGTTACTTAGCCTATTGACTGTACATTTGAAAAATCTCTGAATGAATGCAGTTGAAAGAAGTAATCAATTTTGTCAACCCCTCACAGATGCCACAGTCACCTTCAACAGATTTGTTTGGGCTTTAAAGCCTACATGTAGAGGTTACATATGCAAATTTATAGTCAACCGAAAGAGCTCATTTTACACTATGATCTAACTATAGTTATTTTGAAATTGGTGCACAATTATCAACATGGAGTACATGTAACTGACTGTAGTATTGTTGGCTTTACCAACTATAGCACTTACAGTTGTTCCTTACATAAATATATTATAGTTATAAGATACAGCTAAATTTTATAGAATAACACTTGTATCATTACTGCAGTAGCTATTGTATATAGTTGAGTTTGAACAAAATTTGCACCACAACAAAATTCTACGAGTCAAAGATTGTAAATATAATTTTCAGTAATAAAATATCCAGCTACAATGCAGATAATAAAGATATTGCTGCTGTTTATTAAGTTTCCTGCTCTTTTTCTGATCCACACCATTTAACTTCCTTTTTATATTAGGGTTAGAATAAGCACTTCAGCCTAAATTAGAGATGTATTTCATTATTAAAATATGTTTTAGAATATTTCTTACTTCTTCTTGTAGAATATAATTTCCACAGAAGCAAAATTCATGATTATTATTAAATTTAATGCATTAAATGTACCACATTCAGACAGTAGAATCTTAACCACATTTACTGTGAAATGGGCTGCTTTAAACAAGAAGTGATGCAATTGCTTTGCCTTTTCTGACAAGTTTCTCGATTGACTTCTTCATCTCCTCACTTTTGATCTACTTTTCCTATCTTACACCAATTTTCTTGGAGAACGAATGCTACTGAAAATCCTAGCAGAGAATTTGCTAATTTTTAACCAACTTATGCATGTTTTTGACATTTTCAAGAGAAAAAAGATGGAGGAGTGCAGTCTCCTTGAAATAACCTGCAAAACTTTTAAGGTAAGACATTTAAAGTGCATTTCAAGAGCTTCTAAAAGAAAACCTATTATGAACTGAGAGTTCACTTTTACTTGTAACTTTCACTAGATCTGTCATGCTTTCACCAAGGGCTGAGCTGCATATACAATTAGTTAAATTGCACATATACTTAATTTATTTTCAGATTTATTTGTCTGAGTTTACTCCTCTACACCCAGTATGAATAAAGTAAACAAGAAAGTATATATTTTAAATCATATTATGGGGGCAAAATTTAAACATTGTCTGGTATCATTATTTTGGCCAAACAATCTCTCGCTCGGTAGACTAAGGTGCAATTTTTATTACATATTAATATTTTTACATCCACAGTTAAAAACTGTTATATTAATTATTAATACTTATTATTAGTACACTGAAATACTAATGTATGTCAAAGTAGTCAGTGGGTTCATCTAGTTCAACAGTTGTAACCACTATTGTAAGATGCTTTTGATTATAAATTATAGACCATTAAAAAAAGAAGAAAAGGTGGAGCTTTTTGCAATGGAAAATGTGCTTCATTGCTATTGTCAAGATGCATGGTTGTCAGATAGAGCATAACTGGACATGACAACATGGTCTATTAAAACACAGTGAGTCTTCAAACTCATTTTAATTTAATATACTCAATTTTCTGTAAAACTTCAAAAAATGTCCTGAATGCATAAAGATGTTCTTCATATCCACAGTGACAATGAAGAACCACCTAATGGTGTGTAGTCAGTGATTAATGGGCTATTCAATTTGATGACTGGCAATAAATTAACTGTCAGTGTTTTTGACTAAATCACTTAGTGTCTTTCTGAAATGGTACTTTACATACAAACCTGTGATACGATGCATTGAAAAATAAATAAAAAACATTTCTAGCATTTCATTGATGTTAAAGAAAAGAAAAAGAGAATTTAAGGAAAGTAATGTTATTCACATGAGGAATGTAAACAATCTTCTGTGCACCATTTTTAAGGCACACAACTGTGCTTAAACGATATGTATATGGGGTGGGAAGCTAAAAGTACTGGTGTCACAACCTTTTTACAAAGTCACATTTAAAATTTAATTAAATGACTATTATTAATATAACAAACCAAACCTCCAAAACAGTACTTTCTGCTCTCTAAGCATTGCTAAACAAATTTTCACAAACAATGCACCTGTCTTTTATACTTCTTCATTTTCATGCCATTTCAGAATGTATTAATCGTGTGACTACCCTCCACTAATCATATTGTGCCCTCTATTCTAGTGCAACTAGGTCCCTCTACTATTATAGCACAATTCTAATTTTCTGTCAGTGAATTTTTTTTTAGCAATGCTTAGAGGGCAAGATCAAGATAGCTTTGGGTGAGAGGATGTAAGTACATGTTGGAAGTACAAATACATTTTCAGTGTAATCAAATGTTAGCTTCAAACAGTTTTATAATTCAAATTTTTATTTCAAAAGAAAATATTTAAATACATTTTAATAATTAAAGTACTCAAATGATCAAATTTATTTAATCATCATGACATTGAAACATGTAGTCTGTTTTGAGACCATTGACAGTCTTAGAATAAAGTTTTTAATTATATATATATATATATATATATATATATAGTAGTTGATCTATTAGTAATTATTTGTATTATTTATTATTACACTAATTTAACTTAATATTAATTATTAATCTTCACATCTCTTGTTCGTGTAG